GCACACATAAGGGGGATTACCAACAGACCCCTGGCAGTCTTCAAGCTGGCACTGGACAAGCACCTAAAGGCAGTTCCTGATCAGCCGGGCTGTGGCTCGTACGTTGGTTTGCGTGCAGCCAGCAGCAACAGCCTGGTTGATCAGGCGCTGATCCACCAGGAGGCCTGGTCACAGACCGGGCCGCGGGGGCGTTGACCCCCGAAACTCTCTCCAGGTAAACTCCAGTCCCCACAGATCACATAATAAATTTATGCATCATCACCAGTACCGCGACGGATGAGCTCAAGGCGGCCAGAATCACTGCAAGGTTCAAGAAGAACAGTCCACAAACAACCCGCACTAAAGAAACTTACGTCCTACCTAAACAGTTGGTCCGAGGTCAACAGATATAATAATAATAATAATAATAATAATAATAATAATAATAATAATAATAATAATAATAAAAATATCTTTATATCTACAAGTACATGCGCAAGGTATACAGTCCTAGCTGACATCAGTGACATACTACTATATAGAAAGCCGCATGTTATGCTGAGCATTTCGGGCAAATTAAGTCAGTTTTGTCCCAGGATGCGACCCACACCAGTCGACTTACACCCAGGTACCTATTTTACTGATGGGGAACATAGTTAAAAACTATAGCATCCTCCACAGTTATCAACCCACTTTCAGATCTTATCGGTTTCCTAATTAAATAATCTGTTGCGTTAACTGAGAACGTAAGTGCCAATAGGGAATCTCACTGGTATGGTGACCTCACACTTTCAAAAGGCATTTCATTCACTGATCCTTAGTACATTATGTAAGAAACTACAAGTTATCGGCATTGGTTCTCTAGACTGGTTTAAATTATACATGAACACCAGTAAATAAATTGTCAAGATCAGTAAAGCGGAATCAGAACACTAGACGACAATATGTGGAATTCCTCAAGGAAGTATTTTGAGACCCCTATTATTACTGTATCACATAAATGATATGCTCATTAAGGTTAAGTGAAAACTTTTGCTGTATGTAGATAACAGTGATCCCTATGTCTCAAGTAAAGACCCAAAGGATATATCTAATGTACTGTCACTCCAGCCAGATAGCAGATAAACTGTCGCTATCAATGCATCGCTTCACTCCACTTTCTGTTTCTTGTGCCCCTACTATCACTTCTACTACTACTACTACTACTACTACTATTACTATTACTACTACTACTACTACTACTGCCACTTTCAACATTACCTACACCACTACTATCTCCACTTTTTTCTCTCTCCTCTTTGTCCCCTCCCTGCTCTCCACTCGTATATATACTGTCTCCCTCACCTTCGTGTGTTAGTGTGTGACCAGTTAATGGTTAAAGTCGGACCAAAACGTTGTCATAAGATTAATTTTTGGGCGGGTTACTCGTGTATCGCCACACTTACGAAAATCAAAAGCCATGTTATTTGGCCAAAGGTAAATTAAAAAGGGTAAATACTTTTAACGTACCGTGTAACGAGTACCCATCACAAGAGCACCGTCTGTGAAATATCTGGGAATACCCTTTGATCCATGCATGCCAGGTGATTGACAATGAACAATGTACTGAGAAAAGTAAATGCCAGTTTAAAGATCTTACATAGACAGGCAGACAAGACCCATATCTAACTCTTGTACAATGTCATGCCATTTTTTTTTTTTTGCTCTTCATGGTACTCTGCTCAAACAAAAGAACTGAAAGAAGAATAATTTATCCAGAACAAGATGACGGGATTAATCCTGGACCTGTTCAAAGAGAGCATGTAAGCCAGGATGAATTACATCTACAGGAAATTATTAAAATTTCAGAAAGGGTAAAACAGATGAAAATTTTGTCAAGGTTAGGAGCACAATTTGAAGTATCTACAGAAAACGGCCAGGATTCAAACACGTTATATTTACACAGCAATAAAGGAGTGGAATTGTTGCCTGATCACGTCAATGCCAGTCTTAATATAAGCCAATTTAGGAAGAGAAGTAAAGAGTACCTGATAAATGAAGCAACAGAAAAGGAGGTATGTGATTTCTTGTATAGTTAATAATCTTGTAGATGTTATTACTAAACTGATTATATTTTCATTTTAATACTCATGTATTTCATTGTCATGTAATTAATTTATTCAGTTCATTTTTTTAGTCGAAAACGATAACTAATTTTTACTGTACCAAATAGTTATGCTATACAAGGACCACAATGAAAATAAGTCATTTTGTCTGACTTTTCTGGGTTATTAATAATAATTTTTAACACACATGCATGTTAGATAATTATGCAAATTTGTCAGATAACCTTACTTACTAACTTGTTTATTTTACTTACTTTAATTACTTATTAAGACTATCAGTAACCTATTCAGTATTTTTCACCAGTCACGAATACTTTAATCCCTAAAATACGTAATACTTTAATCCCTAAAATACGGAATACTTCAATCCCTAAAATACGGAATACTTCAATCCCTAAAATACGGAATACTTCAAT